GTACTTTACTGTAATAAAACATACATATTTATGCTAATTTAAGTATAGCTCCCCATGCAGTGTTACAACAGAATGATGATTTGTTGCCTTTTAATTGGATGATAGCTTAAACAATTGCATGGCTGTTCACATAAAATACACAAAATTTCATGCAAAATTGCTTCCAGATTTAATTTCATAGCACATATTCTTTAACAAATTTTCTGGGGGGGGCATGCCCCTAGACCCCCGTAGTATTAGTATGCTAATTAGTACGTGTTGGCTTTTAATCTCACAAATTAGAACCTCCCTTTCAAACATTCTTCGTACGTCCCTGAATAATGCTGTTTAAATGTTGCCTGACTATAATACAATAAGAAGGCAGTTGTAATATTTCCGTCTTTTACGAAACATAATACTTGTTTCTTTTATTGCCGAAAGTAAGATAAACGGTTCAAGATGAATTTTTGAGGGTTAATTTTTAAAAAAATCGTCGAAGAAAAACAAAAATATTTCGTGCAGTTTCACTCAAAGTATAGTTATTACCTTAACACTTTTAGATAGCGTGATATATGTTATAGACTATTATTATTATGACACATTTCTGCAAGTTCATAAACGGTTTATCCGCACAGTAAGCAACTTAAGCCACAAGGCACGTGGAATATAGCATTAATATTTTTGAAAGAACCCTACATCTCCATGGTTGGAGTTAACTGAGATGTTTCATCCCCACGTGCACTATTATTTATTCATATTTTTGAAAGAACCCTACATCTCCATGGTTGGTGTTAACTGCAATGTTTCATCCCCACGTGCACTATTATTTATTAATATTTTTGAAAGTTCCCTACATCTCCATGGTTGGTGTTAACTGCAATGTTTCATCCTCACGTGCACTATTATTTGTTAATATTTCTGAAAGAACCCTACATCTCCATGGTTGGAGTTAACTGAAATGTTTCATTCCCACGTGCACTATTATTTATTAATATTTTTGAAAGAACCCTACATCTCCATGGTTGGGGTTAACTGCAATGTTTCATCCTCACGTGCACTATTATTTATTAATATTTCTGAAAGAACCCTACATCTCCATG